TTTTTCGTATTCAAACTAAAAACGATTATGCAATTGATGAAATGCGTAGTGTTATAATGGAAGCAAAATAAAGAGACAAACGCCACAACATTAGGCGTCATATTCACAGTCGGTAGTGTTCATTGACCTTGAAGATTAGCTCACTTTAACAAATCAGTAATGCAGATAATTTCCATGGTGATTCGTTTTATATAGTCATTGCAGGCTATGAGGTGCCAACCCTGAAATTGTCGAAGCCTTCTCAAAATCAATTCCATTGTGCGAATACTGAACGTCCTGCTTGAGCGCTGACTGTCCAGTGGGCACAACAGCCAATCAAGTTTTTGTATTAGCTGGATCCCGGTGGGAGCGCCGGCTTCGGAGGTCCTCCGAGCTTTCGAGCCAGCGGCTAGACGCACAGTGTATTTTTCTGCAAAACCCCTGCAGGCGAAATAATACAGGAACATATACATTATACAAAGGCATTCTACACTATGAAGTGGCAAGTCTGAAAATGCCGTAGATTTCGAGAAATCAATCCCATGGTGCGAATAGCCAGCGGCAGCTTTCGAAGTGACGTGTCGCTCAACTTAAGTACCGCGCGATATACACGATTAGTTCAACGCTTTTGGATGCGTAACACACTTTGTGTACCCTTGTTGGTCCTTCTGCTGAACATCAATTGTTTGAAAGGACAATATTGGGAACTGGTCTGAATAATTAGTGTGCGCAAATGAAACGACATCATTTCAGACTGATCGTTTGGTACCGTCCGCCATTCGGCACGAACTTGGAACACATCGTTCTAATAGTCGGCTTCCATCAATCACTTTCAGGTCGATTGGTTCTCCCTAGGGCGCTCACGTCGGTCGATAGACTTTACAGTAGATCTACTGTAAGCTCAATTTACGCCACCCACGCGGTTTTGCGCGTGGGTACTTACAAATGAGCAGAATGTAGTTAAGTTTTTATCATTATCGCAACTCCTATCCTGTTCTTCATTTCGCCCATATCATCTTGACTGTTTTGCCAGGAGATCAAACCACCGCTAATTATGAGTGCGTGAATAACGTGGTGTACGGCAGTGGAGCGTGAATGTCAACACTGATGTTGCTGTTGTGATGACGATGAATGACAACAGTAGAGGTTTATCCAAGATGATACAGATGTGTCACATGAATTTTCTTTTTTGGAAACATTGATAGTGTCGACACAAATCTAGAAGAACAAAAATGTCATAACTTTCTTAGGAGCGGGACGGAGGTTCCATATTGCGTTTACAGACGCACACTGGAAGGAATACGCATAATAGTGGATGAAGAACCATCAGGAATACCCTATTGGACGACCCACCCTCAGCGCAATCGTTTTACTAGCATATTGACCGCGGATTCCTTTATCAGGTACACAACGACGTCCACTCACGATATCCGACGATCTTCGCCTCATGCGAGTCGTATACATGCTTTCGTTCATGTACTCCCGCTTTCGTCTTATCAACTGTCTCTCACTGTAGAAGAAGTGACGAAAGAGCTCTGGGAAATAAAATCAAATAGCTCCCCCTTTTATCGATAATATCCATCCCCAGGTGCCTTTGTAGCTGACAGGGCGACTCTGCAAGGCTCTTAGTTTTTCTAAAGAGGGTTTAGTTGAAGAACTGCCAGCTGTACTGATTAAGAAAGCGATTTTTTGCTCTATGAGGAAGGGATTCGGTTTGATTGTTCCGTCTGCCGACAAGATGACTTTTTCCAGTTCGCCTGAAGCCATGGAGCTTGTAATTGCCGATGACCTGACGCTTCATCGTGAACATCAAAGCACACCTGGTGATGCGTTTTCCTCAGTTCACGAAATTTCCGCATTTCACAATATTCAGTGAGTTTCGAACCCGTAACATCCATGCTAGTAGTGGGTACACAGCCTTCCAGCGAGAAACGTCTGACCATCAGTTCATTTAGCTTGTACTTAAACAGGGTACGTCATTCATGGAGTTCACATCATACGGTCACGTGTGAGTTAGGTGTTCTCTGAGCGAAGTCCTCCGTAGTACCACAAGAGTACGCACTAGAGCATCGTCTTTTTCTGATTTCTATCGGTGATCTCGGTCTATTTATCCGGCCATTCATTTTTGTTTGTGGTAGCCAATATAGGCATCAGAAGACTTTACTGTACTGATGTCCGAATTGAAAGGGTGCATCACTATAGCGCTGAAAATATCCACTCAGTCGTCCATCCAATATGATGTGGAATCTCTCTCCACTGTTTGTGACAATCTGTTCAACAAGGGAGAAGAACTTGGGAGTTGCTGTTCCGAATGGCCTAAGATACCCGACTGATTGTATCTGCGCTACCAAAATGGAAAGCCAACAGCCAGGAGATCTAGCCATGCCTCTTGGCTTTTCTGTGAGGTCCCCTTCCTGGTGTGTATTTTATGTTTCGAGATGGCTCACTGGTTAAGGTGCCAGGTTAGGGACCGGAAGTTCCGTGGTTCAAAGCCAACCTAAGCATCTCGACTGCTCCTATCTAGGCTTAGACAACCGGGCAGTATCCCCGTCCTCACACCTCCGTTGGCATAGCAGCTAGGCACCGGAAGGGTGCTGCAGCTGGACGATGGATCTTCTTTCTGAGGTGTACAAGTAATGCTTGACGGTTCTGCTGGTATTCCGTATGACATCGTCGAAGGTTTGGAGACTCTGTTATTGTGTATCAATCACCGACACAACCAAATCACTTTCGCAGATCCTTGTTGAGCTTTACTACCACTACCCACCTAAGGGGGCATTACTTGAAGCTCACCCATGAATCCGTTGACTCTACTGCCATCGCTCTCCATTCTTTGCACAATCCTCAGTGACTTAGCTTAGAGCTCGACTTGACACGTTGTGAGCACGTATAAATCACCTAATACACACAAATGTGTGCTGTATTTATTCCTGGAAACTTGCCGTTCTAGCACAACCAAACCCACATTGGTTACCTTGTAGAATTTCATAAACTTGTATGCTTCGTTTTTACTTGTCCGTTATATAACGTTTGTCATTTAATCCTTTTGGAATGCCATTAAGTACTGTCCACAAATGTAACCTTTGCTGCAAAAGTTTGATTTATTGCCTTCTCGTGTGTGTTCGCTAAACTGAGGAGCGTTATTACGCTTATAGACTTGTTTTTTGGTCCAGGAGGGCTACCCGAGCTTTGGCTCCAAACCACCGACGGACGGCTCCTGAAGTATCTGATTTAATCTCAAATTTGGTTCTTACTAGGTACCTCAATTACCAAAGTGGATCATCTAGCCTTCTATGGCCGGTTTGAACCACAAGTGTGTTAGGCAGTCCGGGTGGTCCGCCATCATCCAGAAAACAAATGAAAGCGTTCAGATGTAGTACCCTTCCGGTGCCTAGCTGCCATGCCACCCGAAGGAAGCACGATGGCTGAGATACTGCCAGGTTGCCCAAGCCTAGACGGGAAGTCGAGAGGCGGAGGTCGGATTCGAACCACGGACCTTCCGGTCAGTAAATTCGCGCTCTAACCACTTGGGCCATCTCGCCCCGCAGAAAACAAATAAAGTATAATCGGCCACTGGTCTTTAGTGTATCGCGATATCGAAACTTCGCTCTTTATGAATCAGCTTTTGATCGTTTGAAGGCTCCAGGGAGCGGGGGTCCAAAGATAAATCTGTCCACAATTACATGATGATTCCTCTGCTGCATTTGCCCGGTCGAGATGATGGTGACCCTTTCGATCGGCTTCAGCTGGAGTCTTCAGTGCCTGTCTATGTTTTCCCGTCTCTTCCCCATTTCCGGCTGTAGCAGCTGGAACCAACGTACACTTGAACCTCCTGGTTAGTAGGTTTGCCCCTTGACTACTGAGCTTTCCAGAGCTCATCTTGTCAGCTGAACTGATAAGCTGAACCGAAGTCAACTTAAATAGTGCCTTCCGACACCTTGTAGTAGGCACAACAGATGAGGAGAACGCCTAGACACTGACGCTCAGGACAGGACCAAACGGTGAAATTACAGATTTCCGTTTTGTCTTTCTCATCCTCTAATGCTACCTTAGGTCTTACGGCATATAGGCGTACTATCCTATACTAACCAGGGGCGGTTCCTTGGGATAAGAGGGTGGTGACAGTAATTGGTTGTGTATATTGTACAGGTTATCTGGAATCGATTTGAGGTAACAACTCTGTTATCACCTACATCAGCAGTCGATCGGTTGACGGAACAGCCACGAAAAGGACCGTTCAGCTGTAGCACCCTTTCGGTGCATAACTGCTATGCCACCAGAGTGAAGAATGAGGGCTGGAATACTGCCAGGTCACCCAAGCCTAGACAGAGGTATTCGAGAAGCGGAGGTCCTCGAACTACGACCTTCCGGTCAGCAAATTCGCTCTCTAACCACTGAGCCATTCTGCCCCCGGAACAGCCACTACTTTTATAGAAGATTTCACTAGGTGATGGCAGTCATGCACCCAAAGGGTGCTACAGGTGAAAGATTTTTCCCCACTAGGTTGGTAGCAATCGTGGCTTTACGTCGCACGCAGTGTGCACATTGGTTTAGGCCTTAGCAATTACAATCAATGCCGCACATGCCCTTCCCAGTTCATATTGATGCTTTATACAATCTGTTGAAATCCAATGTTCCATCCTGTGGGTTCCCCTGTAAAAATACACAGGTGTGATAAAACGCTTGGGTGAGGCGTTTCCTCTTTGGAAACGAATCTGCCTTCAACCTATTTTCGAACGCCTTTGAAACCATCGCTGGAACCCGAGACGCGCTCAAGTGGTTAGAGCGCGAATTTACTGACCGGAAGGTCCGTGGTTCGAACCCGACCTCCGCCACTCGACTTCCCCTGTCTAGGCTTGGGCAGCCTGACAGTATCCCAGCTCTCGTGCTTCCTTTGGGTGGCATGGCAGCTAGGCACCAAAAGGGCGCTACAGCTGAACGATTTATTTTTTCTATTTTACTTCTCTTTTTTTTGATTCACTGGATTCATTTGTTCAGTCAAGCTTTTTTTGTTCCTTTAAAGCTCACTGATTTTTCTGCTGGATTAGAATTCAGTTGTCTCTGCCCGTTTCGAAGATGCTCGCTGGTTTTCGCATTGTAATGGTGAGTTTCCTACAACTGCACGTGAGTTTTCCAAAAGTCTCTAGGTAAGGGAACAATCACACAGACAAAGTGTCTTGGCGTACTTATGCCGCGCAAGTTTCTGTCCACGGTGGTTCCCTCCGCGACCTTCAATCTGGAGGAGTATAAGTCTTTCAAGCTGGACTCATTGCCACCAGCACAAACACTGTGTAGCCGTGAGGACGCGCTAGCTTATCTGGAAACTTTGCAGCGAATTCGACGGATGGAGACGGCGTGTAGCAATATGTACAAGGAAAAGAAAATCAGAGGATTTTGTCACCTCTACTCTGGTCAGGTGAGACATTAGAAATGTTTCGCCATGCTAATTGGTTCTTATGTTCCTGTGACAATGTGTTTATCCAATTCCTCTTTCATCAGAGGGTAGTAGATCAGTATATCTGTCACCTGAAGTCATTTTATTTATATTATCACGGCCAATACTCAGTTGAACATAATTCTCTCGTCCCACCCCAACAGTCTTTGAGTTGCCTGACCCACATATGCTCTTCCAATCGTTCTTATAAAATCTCAGCATTAATTCTCTGGGACCACCTGTATTGTTGATTAACTAAGGCATCATTGCAATCGTGTGCAGGGTACACACTTGATCTGCACACTTCATATGATCAATACACATGACAAGAAGTGTTGATATCAAGAAACACATATCAGTGAGGTTTGGGTCAGCTAGACACATGGGAATGTTATTCGGCCTTTCACAGTTAGGCACCGTTGGAGTTTCCCGTATTCTGTTAGCCTAAAGTCCTGCCTTTAGCGTCCCGAACACTCCTGAATCCTGCATCATGCACAGGAATCAGACGAAACAACTTGGGCCGTTCCTTACGCCCATTTGCTTGTATGCGCCTGGTTTTCACTCATCCAATAAAGTGAGTGGTCTTTATAGATCACTAGTAGTCACGTGATTATATGGATGGCCTGCTCCCGTTGGTTGGTATCATCTCGGCTTATCAACGTCAGAAGTCTATGCAAAATGGTAGTCTTTTTAATGGACGGTTTCCTATTTTCCTATGCTCCAAGCCATTTCGCCGAAATGAACTTTTTTGGGACGCCGTATGTGTGACGTGAAACGCAAACGAGTATACGCCCAGTAATGAACCGATCGTCCGCAAATTTTGTGAGTTCAAACTGAACTGTCTACGATACTTTGAGGAGAGCTCGAGATAGCCTAGTAGTTAAGGTGAGAACTTACTGACCGGAACGTTCATCGTTTGAGTTCATCCTCAGCATCCGGACTGCTTCTGTTTAATCTTAGGCAGTATATCAGCCCTCGTGCTTCTTTCGTTTTTGGGGATACCGATATCCCCAACAGCATGGCAGCTAGGAACAGAAAGTGCTACGGTTGACCGGTTGTTATTACTTCAAGTAGGAGCAGTAGCTAACGAAACTGTTAATACTGCTTGGACGTTGTTTTCTAATGGATGATCCCACCGTCTTCTTTTTGTGTGCCATTGGTACGGCAGTGAAGCATCAGTGTCAACACTGATGTTGCTGTCTTTGATGATGATGATGATGACGTTTGCCATTGGTAGACGGGCCCGTACGTTTCCTTGACCTACCTAAAATATTGACTCATCAACAAATGGAACTTGAAAAAATATGTTGATCACCTCGAGTCGCACATTGTGACGATAGATAGTTTTATTTTGGCTTCTCTTTGGAGGAGCTATGTTGCTTTTTCTGTGAATCTTATTCGAGCTTTCCCGTCGAAATGCGTCTGTTCCCTTCATATTGGTGGTTACCGGTTCACAGCCGTATTCGATGCACAAACACTTCAAACAAGAATTGGGTCCCTGTTCAAATCGTGGTTTTTAGTGCGCTTCTTAATTATTTGAATTTACACCTTCCCGAACACCACAAAGTTCCATCAACGGGTGCAAGCTGCAGGTCTTGTCTCTCAGCCTCCATTGTCCACAACTGGCAGTGAACGCGTTTTTGAGCCTACGCGACTGTTTTTTGTGCTGTCTGACCAATATTTTCTGATGGGAGAGGGAGTGAAGGCGTAGTGGTTTCGCTTGTTCTTGGCATATCAGAGCGATTTTCTGCTTTTCTGGCCTGCAACGCAGGCATGAGGCTAAGTATCCCAGAGGTTCCTTATTTGCTTTGCTGTTTCAGCGAAGTGGTTAACTGTTGTTTCTCGAGACCAAGGCGAACGCATAGTGTCTAATGGGGTGTGCGAATGAGATTAATTAGTTGTGGTAAATTGCTGTATTTTCATCTGTGAAACAACAAGTGTACGGATTGCCAGGACGGGGATCTGCCATCAATTTGAGTACGCCCATACCGAAAGAAGTGGATTAGTGCATGTGGCGTATAAAGCATTGTTATATCAGCGGCCGTCGTAACCACCAAGTCGTATAAAATGGTTCAGCTGTAACACCCTCCTGGTGCCTAGCTGCCATGCCACCCGAAGGAAGCACAAGGGCTGAAATACTACCAGGTTGCCCAAGCCTAGACAGGGGAAGTCGGGAGGCAGAGGTTTGGTTTGAACCACGGACCTTCCGATCAGTAAATTCACGCTCTAACCACTTGAGCCATTCCGCCCCATCAAGCCATATTGTACGTAGATAAAGAGTAATTGGAAATGAAGACGTGGCAGGAGACCGTAAGTGCCGGAAACCAATATTTTTGTCAGTAATGATTTCAGAAATTGGGTCCGAATCGTGGTCACTGCTGCTAGGATATACACGTTGGTCTCCGGTGTATCTGAATCCCTGTCAAGATGTAGTCGGAACGGTAGATCAGCGGTAGGATGTGCAGCATTTCACCCAATCACTCAACTGTCCTCATGAGCGTTGATGTGGTCAAGTCACATCCTCTGCATACCAACGGACAATGTACCTCACAAATCCCCTTTATAATAGTCCTATATTAGGTCAAAAGGTTCAAGTCTGGTCAGTCTATTAGTTGAACTTCGTGTATGAGAAACTCCAAGAAGAAGAACAGGACCAGTTTCTGTTTCTTTGAGCTGAGGTCCTAGCAGGAGAGACACATTAGGAGGGCCCAACCTATAATAGTCATACTTTGGCGCTACCTTCTTCTCTCAATGAGTAGCTGCTTCTTATTGGCTCTCTTATTAGATCGTGGCACAACTGCCATTCAGGGAACTCTTGCATGGGGCTTAGATCCCTTTGCGTGGTAGGGTTGCAATCCCATTCTGATAAATGTTGATACCCTAAATGCAACATAAGATGCTTTGTTATCAACTTCAGTTTGCCTCAGCCGTTCGTGATTTCTATGTCCAGTCAAATGGTCTTACGGGTTATTTTGCAAACCATACTTCTCCAACAACCATTGTCCTGTGCCCGTTTTCTTTCGATAGGAAGCTGTTGTTGTCGGTATAGAGGCTGCGCTGAAACCAGGCGACACAATCATCACGGCCTACCGTTGTCACGGTTTTACTCATACTCGTGGGGTGTCCGTAAAGTCCATCTTTGCTGAATTGCTCGGACGAAAGACTGGTTGCTCAGCCGGTGTTGGTGGCAGTATGCACCTATATCACAAGGACTTTTACGGCGGCAATGGGATCGTAGGAGCTCAGGTAGGTGGTATTTCTGTCCTGTAGATCCATTGGATAGCCGTGTGAACCTGTGTTGACCAATCCTGTCTCACAGTCACGCTTTTCCCACTTAATTCATTTTATTTTATTCTTATTCCCCCCCCCCCCGAAAAGGTCCCCCTTGGAGTGGGAATCGGACTACGGATGAAATATCGAGGTGATCCAAACATTTCCGTGACTCTGTACGGTGATGGAGCTGCCAATCAGGGCCAGGTGTTCGAAGCGTACAACATGGCGAAACTGTGGAATCTGCCAGTGGTGTTCATATGCGAAAACAACAAGTATGGTATGGGAACTGCCGCTAATCGGGCCTCCGCAAACACGGCCTACTACACTCGTGGGGACTACATACCAGGCTTATGGGTGAGTATGGTGTGCTTTGTCGACGCCGTTTATACGATCGAATGCGCCACAAAAGAGCTTCACGTCATTCCAAGCAAGGGGCGTTCTCTCGTCTCCTGTAAGTTAAGCGGGTGACCTGTATCTTAGCCCATCATATTGCCTTACGACGCCCGTCCACGTTTACAATCAATTATAGCACTTATGGGGTGCAGCGAGCCACGGGGAGCCTCCTTTTAATATTGGCCTCTGCAAATAGGTCAGGTTCTCGGAATCCCTCCGCGTAGGAGATACCCACATGAGGAACACTTTGAAGGTAACAATTTTTGCAAGTCTTTTTTTGCAGTATCGGTTTCTGATGTCCGCAAAATTACCCAGCAGTCGAACTAGAGACAGTCTATCTTCAATTTAACGGTACACTAAGGGGATGACAAACAAAAATACGAATGGATGCGTCTTTGGACGAAGCATACTGAACTGGGTCCTGCCAAAACAAGTCGAAAAACGATACGTGGCCACCAGTCGAGGGTTATGGTATAAGGGTGACTCCTGTCTTATAGCTGCTCTACGGAACTACTTCTCTTGTATCACAAGGACCCAGGTTGTACGTACTAACAAAGCAGGCTGGATCGACGAAGCATTATGCACCTCACATAAGTTCTAAGTCGTTCTTGGGCGTGGTGTCTAGTTAAGCGTAGTGCAATAAAGGCTCATTTGGAAACAAAGAGAGGACGAGACGACATACCCAAGGAGGTGTCTCCACAAGGCCACAAGTGAGTTGTTTATCCGATGCGCTAGCGATATTGCTTAATTTCAATATCTTCCCGCGTGATATTGAGATTGCACTCGTTGGTGGAAGCAGAGAGGTGACCAACCTTTAACTTGGCAGAGGAGTATGAAAGTGATCACGATTTGCCTTGCAGGATGGGGGCTGCATGATCCTCACTGCGCCCGGTTGGAGACGCTGCAGGATTTGGTTGCTAATCGATGTCAATTGCGCTCTTGTTTTCAGTTTCTTTCCAGATTGTTTGAATGAGTGTCTGAAGGTGGAGGCATCCCGGATTGGTTGTGGTAGGCCAACACTAAGTCCCTTCCCCATCCGATTTCATTCTTTTCTTCATAGTAAGGCTTCCAAATAAATCATTGTTGTACGACAGCGAAGTATCACTGTTGAATACTGATTTTATGCTGTTATTGATGATGATTTCGAACATTCATGATTGTGCTTAAATTAGATTAGAAAATGGACTTGCATAGCTTTGTTTGACTTTGGCCTCGCTTCCTGTGTAACTTCCATCTAAGTAGTATACCGGAACTGAGAAAACCGCACGACCTCGAACGATGTTTCCCATGAAGAGAGTTTGACAGGCAAAACACTACAGCGAGCGGCTGATTGGGCGTTGCTACTCCTAATGAGGTAGATATCATTTTGAGTTTTAGATCAGTACAAAAATAACCTCGTTCACACCTACTCGGCTACAGATTGGATTGGAAATTCCTACGTTACCGACGGCCAGTCGCTTAGCTTAAAAACGGTGTAAGATAGACTGTTTTTCGCACTCGTGATCAACGGACGAATGGCACATGTTTGCGTTTTTTTAACAGTACCAAATGCGAGGAGCTTGGATCAGTAAATTGAAATGTCTTTTCGAGGCCATGTACACAACTCAAATAGAAAGACGAGAAGCTATATCCGCACGTCATTTGATTGAACTGCGCTGCTCCATAAAGTTTGCTGAAGGCGGGATTCGCGTCCTAAATAGGAGAAGTATGGAAACGATAGCTGCCGGAGTTAACCATCCTTCTATTATCTCCTCTCCGACTGTCTTCCAGTGTCACACCGAACTTCCACCGATTAGGTGGAATAGTAATTCACTTCATGAGGGTCCATTAAGGTCAGACCCTGCTTAACCCTTCGTTTCGAACGTTCCGGATTCTGCACGCTGACTGTTCAGATGTGAAAAACCCAGTCAATAATCCTGGTTGGATTCATGAAATGAATTGAACAGCTATGCTCCACCAGCAATAAGTCGGAGTAAAAAGCCAATCCTGCCACTGTTGACAAAGCAAATCGAATATGGCGAGAATATTTCAGCGAATTAAACTAGGATAACAGACTTCTTGGGGCGAGGTGGCCCAAGTGGTTAGAGCGCGAAGTTACTGACCGGAAGGTCCGTGATTCGAATCCGACCTCTGCCTCTCGACTTCCCCTGTCTAGGCTTGGGCAACCTGGCAGTATCCCAGCCCTCGTGCCTCCTATGGGTGGCATAGCAGTTAGGCGACGAAAGGATACTACAGCTGAACGAACCTTCTTCCGAACGATTAACTAGTTCAAGGCTTGTTCATTTTCCGCACGAAACTGCCTACATGCTCTCGAATTTGGTTTTGACAGGAGATTCAACTTGTGGTGGTTGAAGAAGGGCGAGACCGGTTATAGCTGTCCGCGGGTTTTCAGCAACCTTATGAGTAGTGCGTTAGGTTACTGATATGATTGTTCTGAACCATTTTATTTGGGTCTTTCTGGGAGGTGCTATATCTTTATGAGAGATTTAACCTTGATGGCTCATTTTCCGATTGTTCAGGTTGACGGTATGGACGGTTACTGATATGACTGTTTTGAACCATTTTATTTGGGCCTCTTTGGAAGGTGCCATATCTTTATGACAGGTTTAACCTTGATGGTTAAATTGTTCCGATTGTTCAGGTTGACGGTATGGACGTACTCACTGTTCGCGAGGCGATGCGTTTTGCCCGAGACTGGTGCATGTCGGGCAAAGGACCACTGCTCCTGGAAACTGAGACTTATCGTTACCATGGTCACAGTATGAGCGATCCAGGGACTAGTTACCGGACCCGGGAAGAAGTCCAGTCCGTCCGGAGTGGTCGGGACCCCATCCTTTTGTTTCAAAAGCGTTGCATCGAGGCCAATCTGTTCACTCAGGACGAGGCAAAGGTAAGTTCTTCTCACAATTACTTTTTTTGTTGACGCTTGTTAGTCAAAATTGCAGAATCGTCAGTCATACGGATGAATTCGGGTTCCATTTTAGCATCTGAAAATGTTCCACGTCAGTTTATCAGTTTAGGATTTGCTGTAATCCTGATCAATCATCTATGCTGTCCTATTCAACTAGGGTTCAATCACAGTTCCATTCTGCAAGTGAAGTCAGTCCATAATGGAAAGCCGAGAAACACCGTACAGCTTTTTCGTCCTTATTCGGCCTCTCCAACAGTTCCACTTGAAACGTGAACAGGTGATGTGAATCGCGTGACCAAGGGGTGGGTTACATTATATCCCGTCTAGGTGCAAGTTGATCATACTGCCAGTCAGTCACCCATGTTCGAATGCTACGATGCCCAACTAACTACTTACGGGGATATTCCAGGTTCAAATCTTCCCACAGATACGTTAGTTGTGCACTGTTTTTGAGTCCCAGCAAGGAGTGAACAGCTGTACAGTATCTCCAGCCGTAGACTGACTGACTTGCGGGATGAATTCCAAATCGCTTCATCACCTAGAATATTATTGCGGTGCATGCTTTCTTGCTATCGCATGGTGCTTTTTTTGACAACAAAGTATCTCATACCGGGTTTGTCAGCGGATGAGTAGTTTACTGAGAATTGGACAATACGCGTCAAACTGTTCCCAAAAATTTATGCTTTGCGATAACTTGCTGGCACCTATTTGTTGCCTTAGGATCAGAGTTTGATGTGAAGACTTCAGCCCACTGACAACCGTGTACTTACGCATGTATTATGTCAGCTACGGCCCCCAATGCGCAACTATCTACCCACTTCCCTAAATCATTCGTGAACGAACCTGTGGTGGCTAAAACGGCTGATGGAGTTGATGATGCTGAGTTAGTGTTCGCTTTCAGACATCGTGCTCCTATTGGAGCTGACTCAATTTTTTAGCCGAAGGCCACTGTCACCTCTCCCCCATGGGCCTTACAGTTGCTTCCATCCGAACTTAGACTGGCTGCTACAGCCGAAATACCTAATTTTTGGTAGATTGCTAGTTCGTTGTTGATCTGTTCGCCGAGCTCAGTAATTAGCCGAGGATAATCTCGTCACCGATCGAACGGATATCGTCAGTGCCTACCTGACCGGGTTTATACATTTCTCAAGGGTTATTTACTATCTGTTTATGTGATTTGTTACTCGTGTTCGTTTGTAAACTGTGTTGCGTTGTAGCCTGTATTCCTCGCACTCGATTAGTTTGTTGAATAGCTTCGTTTCCAAAACCTTTACTCCAGTTCTGATTGGTCTGTTTCTGAGTTGCGTTGTATCGTTGTCTTCCTCGGATTTGTATGGCTTTTATGACTGCTTCCGTTTTCAGCACTTCTCTCTATGGTCCGATTGGTCGGTTCTTAATTTATATTGCACTGCGATCCAATTTTCTCTGGTTTGCTTGGCTGGTTTCTAATCTGTTTGATGTAGTGATTCTTCCTGTACTAGGGAAGTCACTCGCGTTCGACTGGTTTTCAGACACTTTCTTGATAAGTCATTCTTCATTATTTGTTCAGTTCGGTTGGTTTGTGCATTCCGGGTATATTGATTAATCCTCTTTAGTCTGATATGCCTGCTCCTTTCATACGCGTCTCCTCTGATTCCTTGTGCAGTTTCCAGCTCCATGGTTGTAGAACTCTCTTCTGCTTGGTGGTTAGTGGATCGGCTCGAAATCAGTCAGTTTGTTGATAGCTTTTTCAGTCGAGTACCCCGATTCCATTAAGTCGCATTCTCTCTATTCCTTGTTTGGACCAGTATGTGGACTTTGTTCTGGTCGAATTCGTGCACTTTCTGGCGGACGAGTGAAGCGATTTTATTTTTTAGCAGCGAATTTGTCTGTGTAGCTTGTAGAAAGCTCCTTTCCTGTCGGCCCCACGTGGTGTTTGTTGCACTGAACCTCGTGTATGAGAAACTGTACATATGTTAACGTCACTTTGCATCTTTGACTCCTTATTGTTGTAATGCGTTTCAGTCCGAGTTAAGCTTCGTTTGCGATAGCTGTGGATCTGGACCGTATACATCGCCTTTCTGTGAACCTTGGTTGCCCACCTGACAATTTTGTGATAAGAAGATAAAAAAATACCAGTTTCTCACCATTTTTCTCCCATTGTGAATTGTCATCGAAAACGTTGTTTACCAATCTGATTGCTCGTTTTACGTCGTTTCCTTCTGGTAGTCGTACGCATAACGCATCCATATTGTGGAATTAATATCTGGCAACACTATCCGTCCCAGTTTCTACATTTTGGCTTCTGCAATAAGTCCTGAAAGTTGGGACCCCCTTGTTACTCCTTGGAGTTGTTCATAGTACTCTCGATCGACTTATAAGTATGTGGTCAGACGTAGGCTGTTTTCTTTCTCCAGAAATCAATTTAGTACACCATGGCTATCCAACAGTGTATCGACGGTCTTCTTGAGGAAGTTAAGACCCACTGATATGGACATGAGCTCACATCAAGTGAGGCCGTTCTTTCGATCTCTCCAGTATGTTTCTCACTTTTTCGAAAAACTGTCTTGCATTACTGACTAAGTAATGTGGTTCACAGATTATATGCATTCCGTTTTGTTCACAGTTCCTGGTAGGGATACGGTCTTTTGTTCCCTTTATGTCTCTATAAACTCTCGATAGCCCGTAGAAACTAGTAATAGTCGAGCGTTTAGCTATCGTTCTCCAGTACTCTTCCTTGGCGGTCTTGGATTTTCTCGATGCTCTGATTTCTCTACCACTACGCATTAACGAATAAACCTCTCGTCTCCAGTTGAGTGTTGTGCGCCCACCGCATTTGCCCTTTACCTATTGAACTGAGCCATTGGAGGCCACATAAAGCAAACTGGGCACTGTCGCAATGAATCATCCAGAAGAAAACCAGCGAACTGCATACGTCCATCTTTCGTTTTTGGTCGGGTTCTATAAACTCTGGAACAGCGGACGGAAAACAGTCGGTAGCTCTCAGTGGAGCGCCGTCCTCGTATTTCTCCCCTACGCCGTTCCCAAAAGCAACTCCCTCTTCGGAGAGCAGCAATTTTCCCGTTCACATGATTTCCGGAAAAGTACCTCGATTAGTGAACACCTCTCCAAATTCCTCTTACAAATTGTCGTAAACCAGTAGGTGTATGGAGAGATGCACTAGTACCACCACATTTATTATACCAGGGGGGATTACATGTACTGACCGATCACAATATCGTGACATTCCACGGATCTAGACGCGATAAGGAAATGTGGTGATTAGAACGGAAAGACTTGGTTACAAATTAAAGGCAGTTATAGCGTCAAGCTCACTGGACCATTCCCACATCACATATATCTTGATCAGAGCGAGAGAGGGGTTAAAACATGTGACGTGGTCACCACGATTGTGACGCCTTATTTGGGGGCGAGATGGCCCAAGTGGTTAGAGCGCGAATTTACTGACCGGAAGGTCCGTGATTCGAACCTGATCTCCACCTCTCGACTTCCCCTGTCTAGGCTTGGGCAATCTGGCAGTATCCCAGCTCTCTTTCTTTCCTTCAGGTGTTTTGGAATTTAGGAAGCGGAAGGGTCCTACAGCTGAATGATTTATGAGACCACGATTTGAGGTCCTGTCATATCAACTTTTCGGTGTCACAGTGAGTAACCAAGGGTTCGAATCCTGTTCCTCTCTGCGTTTACTCAAATGCCCCTATCTTCTAAACTCCCTCAACTCAAAGCCATTTGGGCGGTTACGTGGTGTCAGTACCTGACCCATTGTTGAGACTCATAGTGCTGATAAACGTCTGATGACAATCTATTAGGGAGAGTTTTGGCGAGTCACTGTAAAATCCAAGTGCATGCATTATTGGTGGTTCATCTGTGGGGCCACTCGTCCAGCAAGCTAGAGGGAGTGAATTTGAGGCCCTTTCAAGGGCCTCTTTCGTGAAGTCTTAATTCAAGAACAGCCTAATTCCACCCTGTTCCCGACAGGGAATTATGTTCGAGAGATGATACATTTGGCTCGCGGTTGGGTTTAACTAGATTATTCGTCATTCATAAAGGAAACTACTCACAAGGCTGCTGAAAACTCTTCGACAGCCCATGACCGGTTTCGCCCTTCTGTTTCGGGCTCATCAGGTAGGCGCAGTCCCCAAGTTTCCGTCAACCCTATGTTCTACTTGAACCCAAATTAGACTGTTTTCGAGAAACACACTCATTTGCAAATCAGTTTGGTTCTCACGGGAGACTCAATTGAACCTCTCTTTTATGATAATCTACAACTGAATGTGCTGCACACAGGCCGCCTCATGTTTCAGCTGGCACGATATTCGAGAGATTCAGTTGAGTCTCGTGAAAACCAAATTGATTTGCAAATGAGTGGATTTCTCGAAAACAGTGCAATTTGGGTTCAAGTAGATCATAAGGTTGACGGAAACTCGGGGACTGCGCCTACCTGATGAGCCCGAAACAGAAGGGCGAAACCGGTCGTGGGCTGTCGAAGAGATATTCGTCATTCAGTTGTAGCACCCTTTCGGTGCCTGACTGCCATGCCTACAGAAAGAGGCACGAGGGCTGGTATACTTCCAGGTTTCCCAAGCCTAGACGGGGGAAGTTGAGAGGCAAAGATCAGGTTCGAACCTTCTGGTAAGTAAATTCGCTCTCTAATCAATTGAGCCATCTCGCCCTAAGAAGGTCGTGACAAATCGTCAATAGGGAAGATCTGCCAGGGTGGGGGAAGCTCGCCAACCGTCCTCGTATTTGTGGTGCTGACTTGTTCGGTCCATCTCAGCGTGTGCTGAGCACATAATAATAATAATAATAATAATAATAATAATAATAATAATAATAATAATAATAATAATAATAATAATAATAATAATAATAATAATAATAATAATAATAATAATAATAATAATAATAATAATAATAATAATAATAATAATAATAATAATACTTCGGCCGTCTTGCTGAGCACATATACAAATATGTTAAGTTGGTACATCTGCTCGGCGAGTTTATCACTAAGATGGCCAAGCAAAATGTCCCAGCATTCTACTAAGCGGAGCACATGACCGGTCTGTACATGAAAGAACAAATGTGAAGTATATCTCGGTAAGCCATATTGAGAAAACTGAATGTTGATTCATGTGTGGGAACACTGTTGCTTTCATTCCGAGAATATTGATGCATCTTGATTTGGGCTGTTGATCGGGTGGTAGTGAATCAGTTCACCGAGTTTGGCAATTGGCTTGCAAACGATTCGTCACCAGACCATGAGGCATTGCGTTTTGGTGGGTCTCCTCATGTGGTGACGGAAGGCTTGCAAGTCATTTGCTAAACTCGGCGGACAGTTCAGCTGCCACCTGAACATCAACCAATTAACTCACCATAGCTACCAATATTTGAGCGCATACACCTTGAAAGGTTGATTCCTGTGATTGAATGCCCTTTGGAGAAAACGATTCTCGGGGTTTTTTGTCACTTCTATCCGCTTCGTAATAGGATGTGTGATTCTACTCCGTAAACTTTTGTCCTTGTTCTATTGTTTCTGTGCTTTTTTCAATCTCTCTTCAATCGCTGCTTCAGAATTTGGAGAAGCGCGTTCGCCAAGAAGTCGAGAAGGATGCTGAGGATTGTATGAACGATCCGGAGCCCGATTTGGACGATCGATTTCTACATGTTTACTCGAAAGCCCCTCCACAATTTGAAGTTCGTGGATGTGACCCACTTACTTATTTCAAACCAAATTAAGTTATCAGCAGGTACCCCACCCCCCACCCCGGACAATTGTTTTCCCAACTCAGGCTCCCGTAGGTGATCAGGATGATCTGATAGTGTAATTGTTGTCTTTTACCGTTGTCTGCTGGAGTCGGAACTCCGTCTTCTCGCCTGCTATAGGACGAACGTGGTTGCGCATTTAATATTTCTGTTCTCACTTCTTGGTCCTTGGAGGGTTGGTGTGCTGTGTGCGGCGGAACGTGCATTCCAGGAGGACATTTTTTGAAGTAACTGTCATTCATAACCGACTCAGCTAGTGGGGAAAGCATGTGACTGCGCGAATCCTTATGGGCACATCAGATCAGTAGATCTCATTGATGTACGCCAAGTGGTTTTTGGAGATCACTCTCCTTCGATAGATCAACTGTTCATACTCCACAGGTTACGCCAGTTTGGTAGTTTGCTTCGTCTGCCTCGCAAAACCCTCTCAGCCAAACCGCGCATCAGAGGCAGACGTCCCAGGAATGCTCAATCCGTAACTTGTCAACGAAGCCTCAAAGCTCTTACCAATCCGTTTCTCCGGATAGGTACCCTGGGGTGAGACAAACCAATGGTTAGTGACCCTGATAGATATGGTTATGTCACGCAACCGATGACGGCCGTGCATCGAAGCATTCACTGCGTAGCTCCCTCACTCTCTGCCATATCAGACAGACAGAATCACTTAGCGCTTTAGTTCATGGTCTACAGACTCAAAAAACGGAACTGAATAGTCATCATTTGAGTGGCCCATGGCTACCACAACTGTTGCGGACAAGCGCATAGTGCAAATCGATCTCTTTTATGGTGTACCATGCAAGCGAATAAATAGATATGACGCAAAAGAAACCGCTGAAACGACTGTCAGGACGCCCGAAGCTTGTGTGGATCAAAACACCTGCCTAGGAATACACAGTAGGTCAATAAGCTGTTTTGGCTTGATCTGAGGGTTAGTCGCTGTTATGATATTTGCAAAACCCCATACCTCTCAGAGTGTAAAGAGCTAGTGTACATTGCCCAACGAAGCAGGTAACTCTAAAGGTCAGTCGTCAAGTTGCTAACGATGGACACAACATAGTCAACTTGCCAGGGCACTTTAGTAAATAGATGGTTTGGTTTAATTTATTACCTATGAACTATGTATTAAAGATACGTTGGCTCCAGCAGCTACAGCTTCGGTCATCGGTTAGTGGGGGAGAGAGACAGGAATTTGAATTGATGGCGTAATCACCTGGTCGATTTTGAATCAGCCTATTTGCTTGAAGTAAAAGGAAACCTGGTGGCTACGGGCTGAAGGCGATAGCTGCCGACAACGTTTCTCAGTCATTAGCCACTGGCGAGCTTAGTCCCAGGGCCTTTATCTGGCGAGGCGGCAGTTTACTGGTTAGTGCTTTCATAATTTGTTGTCAGGTCATGGACTCTCTACTGTCGGTCGCTTCCACCCAGCACAGAGCTGGGTAAAAATAGTTGTTCGACGCGGACGGTCCTCTGGTATGCGAACTATCTGTTGTAACCAGATTAACACACCTGCAGTCTAGCTGATGGCGTGACGAAGCGTGCTTTGACACGTTTGAGACAAAATCTCAACAAACTCTATCAAGTGAAATGCAATACAAACATAATAGAGAAAACAGGGCTGCGTAGCAGTCAGGGTGTCTCAGTGAATGGCGCGCTCGTCTCTCAAACGAGGGGTTCAGAGTTCGACCCCAAGGTGATCTGCTTTTCAGTCGAAACAGACACAACATTGCAAGCAAAGGCAGACAGGTAGCAGAATCCTGACATTAGTAACTAGGATCTGCGCAAACCTTAGGCGGGAGCAAGCAAGAGGGGAGCAAAAAATGGCGTTGTAGTAAGCAGGCGTAGATCACGCTACTCATGAGTAGTCAGAACAAATAGGAAAAATCGGTGGTTGCCGTTGGTTCACCGGAGGAATCAACACGTCCTAAAAGAGAGGTGCGCTGCATTGGTAACTGACGGCTACACGATCCAACTGAGTTCATAACTGATTTGCGGTTGGTGGGCTCCTTGTAACCCATTGTGGGCGCTTGTGCTGAAAGTTCGTACTGATCAGGAACAGCTGATGTTCAGCACACACCTGAAGAAATCGCTTTGGATTATCCGTGCTGTGATTGTCGAACCCGGATCTGTCATTTGGCTTTGCATCTTCCTGTCTCAGTCGCCCGACTTGGGCTTTCATATCGCCCACAAGGACGATTACATCCGTTCTACTTGCTGACCGAAGAAGTCGTGGCAGATCTTCATAAGACCCATCTAAGCTTCAGAACTGAAGTCTCTCGTGGCGTATGAGGACACGACAGTTTGAATTGATCTCATTTGGTCCAGGCAGCTGTACTTGAAAAGGCTGTCGTTTTCTGTCACCCATTAAAGCGCTGAATGCAACCTCGTTACCACAAATGCTACGGTCGACTGCACCAAGTATTAGGAGAGTAGAACGTGAAACATCTCAATTCGTCCAAAGGGACTTGAGGTATATGTCCAAAGTGGGGTGTTGTGTATGCGCTCTAGTCGACTTGCTCATTATCTTTTGCACGTGTGTCCGATTAGAAAGTGAGACTGGAGGGCCAGTGCACCTTATTCATCTGTGCATATTGTTTTCCACTTTATGCCGGTTCGTTTGGTCGGAAAAGCAAGGAATACATGGCTTTCTTCAACGCTCATCGTTGACTGGTCCAGATCTATGTCATGTGTAGACCGTTTCATTTGAGACTGGTGCGGATTCTGTTTAAGAGACGATCGGGAGGTTGAGTGGTATGATGATGATGCGGATTGACTCACTCTTCAATACCTGAGCTTCAGTGGCTTTTTACTCGTTCCTAATGAGTCTTAAATATGAAGTCCTATGGGATTTTCCATGGGTCCACATTGTGAGCTCACATGCGAACTATGGAACCGGCTAACTTCAAATTCTACCTACCTGTTTACTCCTTCATCTCAGCTGCACCAATTCACGATAGGAACTGTATTTTGAGCAGTCCAATCTAATTTCTGGCTGTACTGCAAAGTTCCGTGTTGTCAGTTAAGCCAGATGGCTCAGTGATTAGAGCGCGAATTTACTGACCGGAAGGTTCGTGGTTCGAACCCGACCTCAGCTTCTCGACTTCCCCTATCTAGGCTTGGGCAACTTGGCAGTATCCCAGCCCTCGTGCTTCCTTCTGCTGACGTGGCAGCTAGGCGCTAAAAGGGTGTTGCAGTTGAACGAACGTACAAATGGGGTGTTCATTGTGTGTACCTTGTACAGATCAACTGCGCGGTTCACTTCTGTTATGCTCACGCACATGGACCAAGTGTGTAAGTGAATCCAGAAGTCCGTACCATTTGTGCTCACGCTGTCAAGCTGAGACTCCTGGGTAAAGAGCTGAACTTCGAAGTGACACTTAAAAAGCAAAGTGGTTTCACCTCAAACCTGTACTGTGTGCGCAACAACTTCGCTATCTTGTCCTCCCTCTGGACGTTGAGCCGGTGAGTGGCGCTCATCCCAGCTCCTATAGTGCATGGCTAAAGTGTAATACATTTGAAAAGTGTATAAGGAATCACAGGCACAGAGAAGGCTGTATCAAACGGATTATTTTTGTTATGCTTTCCTAGAGGTGTATTGCAAGTTCAGTGAAATTATGTGACCACAACTGGTAGAATTCATCAGGTCGTGGGACGAATGGACATGAAGTTCACCCGTCCTTTCTACCGTACAACATTCAGAGTTCCGGCACTTCATTCAATGTCTCAGTACGCACAGACCTCTTAGGTCATCATACTGGGTGCTGAGAAAGTACCGAACGCTTTTAGATCCACTCTGTGTGATCCGGTCGACAACTGTCCTTGAGCTGTACTCGACATGAGCGATACTGACGGATTCAAACAAACTCATAGTTGCAAAGTTCACGACTTTGAATTGGACTCTGTTTGCTATCATTGTGTTGGTTCATTTGGGGTTAAATGAGGATTGACACGTGATTTTTTGTCATAATTCACAGGTTGATAAATTATTCGACTACAGGACTACCGAAATAGCCAGTGGATGCATTCTAACGCAGTTTGAATTTTTGAAAGAGACAATCTCAGCTACTAGTCTCAGAGTAGAGCACGAAGAAGACTAGCGGTTCTTTTGAGACCTAAGTGGAACTTCTTGATGACCGCGAATAACCAGGCAACCACCATCGCCAATGCTAGGTAAGTCATTCATTTCGCGTATGAAACACACACGATATCGTCATCACCCTAACGGTCTATTGTGGGAACAGATGTGAATACTTAAGTTCCATCGATTTCACTAAAAGTGATATGGATGGTGTGGATAACTGGACTTGCAATTGGCGTGGTGTAAGGAAAAAAACCAGAAATTCCGCAGTGATGGAAGTCGCAGTGGCTATCATGAATGAACATGCCGTGATTAAATTAGATGGTAAAGTCCTGGTCAGTTCCTACACTTGACGAACAAGTCTTTTTCTGTTGAGAAAGAGTACAAAATCGTATAGTCAATGTGGATCTTACTCGATTCATACTACCTGACCGACGAGGTCATTGTTTCCCTTCCAGATAGTTGGTCGTCCGTCTATCCTTTGCGTACAGACAGACATAAACTTATTGAAAAAACAGAGGCACAATGATAAGGTAAGTGTATGCCTGAAACAGGCTCATCGGCGGAAATGTACCGGAAAATTTGTAGCTCGGATGCGTTCATTGGTGGTTGTTCAGTTGGCTGTTGGTCTTTTCGCCAAGCTTGGAAGTTTGCAACCGTTTTGTCACTAATCAAAGTGTCCTCGTCAATCGCGCACTGGTAATATCACGATCGATGAGGAAATGTGTACCAGCTGATTGCCAAGCTCGGTGAACAGATCAACGGTCATCTGATCAATCACCAGGGCTCATCGATGTCGTGAGGGTATGGTGGAAATTGAAACTAATATCAGTGCATTAATACCGAAGGTGACGTAACATTATTAATACTGATAAATAATAAATGGTACCTAGTCCAGGCTGGCCTTATCGTATCCTTTGGAAAGTACCGTGCACAATAGGCCGGAATAGTAGTTTTGAAAGTCCAGATGTTTCAAATGCATATGTGAGAAAAAATTCGAGTAAGTTTAATAGCGTTTCGCACATTGTGATTTTGTATCTGCACCTGACGTCGTGGGGTGGTCATTGATAT